AAATAAAATACACAAAGTCCTTGGTGTGTGGCCACATCTCTCAGCGCCTGGCAGAACTTCTGCCTTTGCTGCTGCAAAGGACTTCGTGTTCGTTGCATCCTGGGAAGCAGTGGCAGCAGTCTGCATCCCTCCACAGTGCCGGGGACCATCCCCTTGCTGGCCAGAACACGCATGCAGAGGGGGATGGCATCCACCACTTGCTCAAACAAAATCCCCTGGCAAAGCCAGCCTGGGGTTTTCCCCCTTTAATGCCCCCAGCCAGCCGACCACAAATGAGCCACAGACCTGGAATTATTCAGGGGGCTGACACAGAGAGCCGTTTCCAGCAGTGCTGGCAAAACCCTGATTCCAGGCCTGGGGCAGACATAATTCATTAAATAAACAGCTGGCTGCAAACGTCCTGCCTGGGACCTGCAGGGTGGCAGCGACAGGCGTGGGGGCCCTTGTGGGGCTGAGCCATGGGGCTGGGGGACACATGGGGTGACCTAGCAAGGCTGGCTGGAGCTGCTTGGCATCCTAAAGCTCTTCCTCACTGGGGCCCGCGAGGCACAGCCTGGCCAGGGCAGTGAACAGGCCACAAGCGTCCCTTTGTGAGTGGGAACAGAGGGGCTCTGTGTGCCCCATGTGCTCCCCTCCAGGCGCCTGCCGGGGCTCCGCCGGGCCGGGAGGTGCAAGGAGAGCGCCAGGGATGGGGCTGACCGCCCCGGGGTGCACCGCCAGCATCCACTCCCAGGGGATGCACGGAGAGCAGACAGGCCGGCGAGCGGACACACACCACCTCCGGTGATGGCAGGCAGCGGCAGGGCAGCGCTCTCCTCTTACTCTGCACATCTCTAAACAAGGTAGAATGATTTCCACGAGCACTAAACTGAGGCGCCCCAGAAGGCAGAAGAACTCCCCCGGTGCCGCTCCCTGTCTTTTCCTATCCCTCAGGCTGGAAATGTTTCTCGTTTCAGCAGAGATGGCTACAGTTCCTACTGTCAAGATGATAAAAGGCTTTGTGGATTTCCCAGCTGAGTCAAAGCCAGCAAAGGGACTTTTTCTTTTGGGTGGTGGTGGGGGTTTTGTCCCAGTGCAAAGCTTGGGAACAAAGCTTGGGCAGATATCTGCCACTACTAGCAAGTTAACCTGCCACAGCAAGAAGGAAGGACTCAGTAGTGGAGATGCCATATCATTCAAGTCTGCTGCAGCAAGCTGGCACACTGGATGGACACCCTCACTAGTGAGAAGAGCAGCGTAGCCCCAGGGCAAGGATGGCAAGGCCCTGTTACAAGAAGAAGGAGTGAAGGGAAGCTCTTGTTGCCCTTCTGCAGTGCTTCACAGGACTGCCTGCCTGGGAGAGTGGAGCTGGGGTTTTCACCTCAGTTTTGGGAGAGGTCTTTCATGAAGCCTTAGGGCTCTTCTCTCGTCTCCCTCCTGCAGCTGCCCCAACACCTACTGGGTGGGATCGAGGAAAGGAAAGACGCCTGTGGGCTGGTGGGGGGAAGCCAGCTGAAGGTGCGACTGGATGAAGTCACATTTTCCTCCAGTGATTCAACAGGCAACAACTGAGCTCCGGACAAGGAATGGCAGTGAAACATCTACAAGCTCCCTCTTTGCCTGAGATCCCTCTGTCCATCCAGCCCCCGCATCTGCTCTTGTGCATCCTGCCTGGCTCCCAGGAGAGAGGAGTCCACAGGGACCTTCGGCTGAGCTCGCTGCACCCAGCACTGCTGCCCTGAATAATTCCCTCCGCAATGCTTTGCCTCATCAGATTTACAGCAGCAGTGTGGGGCAGATAAACACGGGCAGAATAACAAAGAGATAAGGTGAAGGGGCTCATCTGATCTCCCTGCTGCTCTTTGTCTACAACCTGAGGGGAAAAAAAACCTTCTGTATTTACTCTATCAACTATTTCCGCTCCCAACTTCCTCCTGAGGTTGGCCTTGGGAAAGGCACCTCTGACTTTTCCCACTTTGCTTTCATCTCCCAGCAATTTTCATCCTGCCCCTGGCTCTTCTCCAAAGCATGGCACAAGCACCTCACTGCTTCAGTTTGCCCCCTGGCACAGCTAAGGTGGCTGCCTGGGCAGGTAATTCTTGTTTATGTGTATTCAACCTAAAAAAAAGGTGAGGAAAAAAAGAAGTCGCTTCCTATGATGTTTATAAAGAGCTAGAATAGCCTCAAGCCTCATCAACTTGAAGTCAGGAAACTGTCCATCAGAGGAGTAAGTTGGAAATGCCAAGCCCTTCTGGCTCGGGCAGAGACAGAGCTCCAAGTGCCTGCAGCAGCCCCAACCTGTCCTGCCATGGCACAGAGAAACCTCAGCATGAGCAGGGGCCATGTCCCACAGGGAAGACAGAAAGGGCAAAGATGCTGTCCCCCTGCCTTGACCAGCCCGCTGGTGACACAGCCAGGGGTTTGTTCCTCCGTATGTTCGGTCCCTCAAGTTAATGCAGGGGCCGCACTCATTTCTCTTTCCCATTCCTTTCCCGGCTCTGCCTCTCAGTCCTTCCACCTGCCTTGGATTGGTCCTCTGCTCTCCTCTGTACTGGGCACGGAGGGCAAAGCCACCCCCAGGAGCTGAAGCATGCAGGTGAGGGCACAGGCAGGAGGTTATGCTCAGGAGCGGCAGCAGCGGGTACTGGTACAAACGAGCACCACCTAGCTGGTTTTTCACTGCATGTGCTCTCAAACTCCAGGTGCCCAAGGTTGTCTTTTGTCCACTATTTATTTATTATCTCCCTGAGGAGGCATGCTAAGCTCTGGGATGACCCAGATGAGCTGGCCTTGCTCCTTGTGTCCCAAAAAGCGCTGCCCAGAATGGATTTCAAGGCTGGTGTTAGGCACAGTAATGCTGGTGACAGGACCAGCCCAGGCGTTGTGGCCAGCACAGACCAGTCTTTGCTCTCCCTCACCTTGGGTAGTGTCCCAAGAGAGGTGTTTCCTCCTGACCCAGCAGTGAGGAAAGCTGCTGCTGCCTGAGCCTCTGATGAATGCAATGGGGCTTCCAGACACATCAGTGCTGGACATGGGGGTAAAACATACACATCTGCAGGTGTGCCATGCTGCACTGCCAGGCAGGAACTGGCCTTCTGGGAGCAGATCTGGACCAGGAATCAGCGGGACCAGCTGAGCCACCTGAAATACCCACAGCCTTGCTGGAAACCACAGACACGGGTGGGGTGGGCTTTGCAGCACCCCTTGCAGCAAAGGTGCGTGACTGAACATGCCAACCATCCTGCCAAGCAGCAAGGGGGTCCAGAGAGCGGACCACCAAGACAGGCAAGAGGACTGCTCTGTGCTAGAGGCACAATGCTGGCCACTGTGCATGCCATCACCCCCCGGCCGCGCTGGGAACCGCAGATGCCAGTCCCTGCTTCAGTGACCCTTCCTCTGGGGTGCAGAGCCCATGGACCCTCCCACTGCCTCACGCTCCTTCTCCCCACTGCTCCACGCTACCCTGGAAGCTCTTCTGTCAAACCCACCTCAAAACCAGGGACGCTGCTTGCTCTGTGCCCTGCTCCACTCCCTTTCACCCCAAGGCAGGCATCTGTAACCCTCAGGGATCTACAGGAGGGACTGGTGGTGAGAGGTGTTCGCTGGGGGAATACTGAACCCCTGCCACCCTTGGGAAAATGCAGACCATGCCTGGATCCTGGTAGCACAAGGACACCGGGAATATGAAGACAAGTCCAACACCGAAGCAACATGGCAGATGTGGGAAAGTTGCAGAGTTAGATCCCTGACCTGGCATGGTGTTGTAAATCCTTGACTGTGGAAAAGGAGACACTTTAGCGTGGGGATGGAAGCCAGGCTCAGGTCCTGCAGTTCAAAGGCAGGGGGGTGTGGGCAGCTCCCCCGAATGTGGCTGGGAGTGATGGCCAAAAGCCCCACAGGCACTAAGCGGGGACTCTGCCCTGGCAGCCCTTTCCCCTGCGAGGTAACCCCACACCAGCCAAGTCCTGTTGGGCACCTGGGGCCATCAGTGTACCGGTGCCCCAGCTCTTGCAGAAGAGCTGCTGGTTCCTGGTGACCAGAGCCGGCCGAGGGCCAGGATGCCTCAGCAGCCCTCGGGCAGGAGGGGAAAGGGTGAGGACAACTTTCCAGTGCTCCTCGGAGAAGCTGACAGGCCGGATGATGCAACTCCGGGATAGCTCTGAGAAAGTCTCCTTTTCTCGATCCAGACGTGCTCCGTTCCGGATGGAAGCTCAGCGCTGCAGCTCGAGCGCTCGCCCTTATTTCATTTATTGTTTTTTTCATCTTTTTTTTTTTTTTCCCCTAAAGAAAGCAAAGGGGCGAGCTGCTCGGGCGGTCATGTCCCGAGAGCACTTTCACAAGGCGAGGCGCTGGGATCCGGCCGCCCCGCCGGCGGGGAGGCATCTCCAGCGCTGTCCCGCTGCGGGCGCGGAAGGCGGGGGCCCCGCACAGAGACAAAGGAGCGGCCGAGGCCGGAGGGAGCACAAAGGAGCCGGCGGAGCCCGGGGCCGCCCCTGCGGAGGGATGCGGCCTCGGAGCCCCCGGCCTCCCTGCGCCCCGCCGCCCCTGCCCGGGGGTACCCGCGGCGGTGGCTCCTCCTCGCACGCCCAACTTCCCGCAACTCCGCTCCGAGAGAAAAAGGCCCGACCCCCGCCGCCATCCTTCCCCTCGCCCCCGGGCGGCCAGAGGCTCCCGCTCCCGGGGCTCCCGCTGCCCATCGCTCCCGGCCCCCAGCTGAGCTCCCTCTCCGGCTCCGGCTCCAACCTCATCGCTCCCGGCCCCCGTTGCACCTACCCGGCGGCGGCCGCTCCGCGGGAAAAGCTCGCCTGGTCCTGCCGTGCGTGAGGAGGGAGGGCAGCGGGTCCCCTGCTTTTCTTCACGGCGCTGTCATCCTCCCTCCCCTCTTCCCTCCCTCTTTCCTTCCTTCCTTCCTCCCTCCCGGGGCGGCTGCGGGGGGAGCGGTCCCGGCGCCTGGACGCGGGTCCCGGGGCGGAGCTGGGCAGGGTCCCCGGGCCAGCCTCCCCGCTGCCTGCCCGCCACCTCCGCTACACGCCGGGGCTGGAAACCGGGAGCTGCCGGCCCCAGCCCCGGAATCGCCCCAGGCTGGAAGGGGCCGCCTGGGCGCTGAGAGGGAAAATGGGGGTCCGGGAGCTCACAGACACTCCGCGAAAGCGTCCCACCAGGGCTAAGGCGAGCTCCTTCACGGGCACCTCGGTGCGATTCTGGCCGTAGGTTCCTGTACAGCCTCCTGCCCAAAAAGGGGGTACACCGGGGTGGTCAGGGCTTTATCCTGCAGACCTCTACGGATGGAGCCGGCGCATCCTCTCCAGACAGCCTGCTGACTGCCGGGCTGTGCTCGTGGGGAAAACGTTACTCCGTGTATCTGCTCTGAACCTCCCTGGTCCCAGCTCTCATCCTTCCACTACGTGCCTGGTTTCATCCTCTCGCCATGACCACCTTGCAGGCATTGGAGGGCTCCTTCTCCTTATCCTCAGCCGAAACTGGCTGCAGGGTCAGCACCTTTCTTCCCAAATCCCTGAACTCTGTTTTCTCCCCACACAGGAGCTGCTGGTGGGTTTACCCCATGGGATGGCCATACACTGTGGTGAGCCATACCAGTAAGCAGGAGCCTGTGTGCCCTGGAAGGGCAGGGAGCAGGAGCATCTTACTGGGAGCAGGCAAGAAGCTTTGGGGGACACCAGCTGTCACTGTCCCTGCAAGGCAGGCATAGGGCTTAAATCATATAGAAATGCCTATTCTGGCTTATGTGCAGAAATTCACACAGCTCCCTCTGAGCTTTGTAACATTAGACACCAAAGAGCTGAAAGACATCTGGCTTTGCAGGCAGAGAGAGATCCGAAAACGTAGTCTCCATAAAAAGTTTCAGCCCTCTTTCACATTCCTGGCATAGTTTTTCTGCTGCGCATGTGACATAGGCAGAAAATGCAGGTTTTCTTGGCATTCATGTGCAATGACCTGCATAGCTCATTAGTGGCTTCCTATTAGCAAAGGTAGTATGTACGGGTTTACATACAGAGTGCTTGCAGCAACAGTGTGCGTGTGCAAACGTGCATGTGTATTCATATATACTTAGAGACACACATTAACACAGGGATGTTGTGGACCTGCCTAGTGTTGCTTGGAGGCATGTGGGGCTGGTGGCACGGTTCGTGTAAAGGCAGGAAAGGCTGGGTGTGATGTTTACGGTACAGCGTTCATCTGTCCATACCTCCTTCTGCTTTTCTGCTTTAAGTGAGCATCCCCCAGCCGCAGACGGGCATGCTAACTCTGGTACACCCCTGTCACAGTGCTGGCTCCTGCAGCATCAGTGGTGGAGTGTCTCACAAGTTCTGCCTAATTGAGTCAAACTCAGGACTTACAAGGTCAGGCCTGTGTAGGCTGTCAGGTTAATCATATCAAACAGCGGATAAGTCTGACTGGTTGCACACTGCAGGAGTTTCTTGGGGGTTTGAAGCATGGTGAAGAATTTTTAAGCTCCTCACTTGTTATTTCAATTGAAACAGGGAATTCTGCCTCAGATGTTGTGGGCAGAGGAAATCTTGGAGAAATACATTCATAATATATAAATAACTTTCAGATGAGGGCAAAGAGAGGCTGGTGGAGAATGGGATGTCACTGCCTTTGTAGGATGCTTTTGCAGTGGTAGCAGGGGGGTGGCAAGAGCAGAGCAGGGTCCCTTCCCCATGCAGCTGTGGTGTGGGGCCCAGCCTGGACTGAAGCCCAACCACCTGAGCCCAGGATCTGCTCCCTGCCTCCTGTGCACACGCACGGGCAGCTCCATATGGAGATCGCCTTCCTGCTTCATCAATAAGTAAAGCTGGCACAGGGAAGAACAAAGTGCCTCCTCCTCCCCACAAATTGCTGAGAGGCAATGGGAGAGGCAAGGAGTTGTGTTTCCTCTGCCCTTCACTAGCTGTGGGATCACATTCCCTTTGTCACCCACTCCTCTTCCCCCAGGAATAACAGAGACTGTTCTCCTTGCTCCTCATGTTGCACATGAGCATGTACACATATACACATGCACATACGCCTGCCGTGCGGGAGGAGGGAGGGGAGCAGTCCCCAGAATGATATCAGGAGCAAGGAAAGGGGGACGTGTTGCTATAGCAACGAGGATGCCCTGGGTTTTCGGGGAACAAAGGCATCTGATGCTCATTTTCCACAGTCCAAGCTGATAACATGGTGGTGACTGGGTCAGGCTCCAATTTAAAAATGCCTCCACTGGTCCTTGCTCTGTTAAGGCCAGGGTCTGTCTAGAAATCTGCCTGTGGGTTAGACGCTACCAAATTCTGTCCCCACATCCCTTCATTTTCTGTCTGGTGGCATCTGGCAACAGGAAGGACATGCTGATGGGGCACTTAGAAAGAGTCTGGCAGCTGCAGTGCAAGAGAAACTCGGTTCTCCTCTGCTTTTCTGCTTCCTATAGATGAGATTTTATTTCCCAGGAGGTCATGATGTGCCTTGGAAATGAAAGACAGTGGAATGATGCCTGCTATCAGATGTTATGAGATGGAGAAGGTGCCCTGGCTTCATTTCAAGTTTGAATCTGCAGGGACTCATTTTGGATTTCTCCCCCCTCACCTCTCCCCCCCCCCCCTTATTTTCTTTATGTCTGTATTTATTTCCCTATAAAGTTGGAACCCTGTTGGTAGCCTTCCTTCTGCTTTTCCTGGCCAAGTGCCCATGCCATGGTGAGCTGCTTTTAGGTATGTTCCTCAGAGACGCAATGGTGCGTGGCAAGGGGACAATTAGCCAGCTGCAAAAGGAAAGACACAAACACCCCAATTTCCTTTTGCATGAAGGCCTTTGCAAACATAGCCCAGAAAACAATATCCTCCAGCAGCCAAAAGGACTGGGGTGCAGTGGTTTCAGGGGACAGGACAGCACAGGCACCTGCAAATGGCAGGATTTCCTCCAGGGACAGTGGGCAGCTGCTTATGGGAACTGCTCCTAATGGGTCTGGTCTAAGGACCTCTTATGGTTACATCAGCTGGTCTAGGGAATCAGGGCCCATGTCAGAAAAAGATCTCTGCCTCCTCTAGCCCATAGTTCCTCTGGCAAAAGGGATGGGGAACTGAAAGCCACTAGGATGCTCACACTGAACTAAAACATGCAGCGCTGGTTGTAGTGCAGTGCCTCAACTGGCCAGCCAAGATGTACTTCTGAAGAGGGAGAAGGTTCGTCTCAGTGCCAGGGTGCACATGTATCACTCAGAGCTGGGAGCAGTGTGTGTGTGAGTGTATGCATCCCAGAATACTAAGGCTTCCTGTGCCCTGAAGGAAAAGCAGGCAATTTTCTGCTCAAGCTGAAGGAGAGCCCAGTTTTCCAGCTGAGTGCAGTGTGCCTATCCATAACCTATACCTGACCTTCTCAAGAAAAGCATTCTCAGGTGCTTTAATGACAGCTCTAATGACACTCACTGACTATGGGCTGGCACGAGGAAGGCATCAGTATGAAAATCCCATATTGATTCCAAGGGCTGGATGCCATTTTCAGTTTCCAAGCCACCTGCCCTCAGACTTTTCCTTTTGGATGACCTTCCCAGATAGACTTCACCCGGGTGTTTTCATCCTCCCTGCCACGGCTACCTTCCTAACCACACTGAAGAGCTAACAGTTGAAACGTTTTCAGCTCTTACTTGGATGATCTTTCGATAACTGAACACAAACCCACCTATCAGGAGGACTCTTCCCGCGTGACTGTAAGCGGGTGTCGCACCCTTTCTGCCGCTGCCGGCAACCATGCCCAGGATCGCAGAAAGCCCACAGAAGGGAGGCGCTCCATCCCCGTTCCAGACCCGAGGGAGCGGATGCCTCTGCCGCTGCTCGCTGCCCGCGGCGGGCTCCTGGCGACACCTGGCGGCAGCACGCCGGCCTCTCGCACGTTCCTCCACAAACCGGCGCTCAGCCTGCGACCCGCAGCCCTTACTGGGAGCGGGTGCTGCCCCAGCCGCCTTTGGCTTGGGGGTTCCTCCCACCGGCTCCGCTGCTTGCGGGAAGGCCGCGCTTCCTGATCCTGCGAGCTGGAGGGGGGAAAGTGACCGTGGCCAGAGACCACGTCTGCTTTTTCCCTTCCTCCTTCCCCCCCTCTTTTTCAGGTGAAACAAGAAGCGTCCAGCTCCTGCCCAACATCTGCCTTTCCCCTGCAGTGCCCGTTCCTCTCTTGGCATCTCAGCTGCCACCAGGAGCCCTTCTCTTAATCTCTTGCTGGCGGACCTCCCCCAGCGGGGTGTTTCAGGCCGGAGCAATGGACCTGACACCACAATGTGCAGTCTCAGTACACCATCTTTTGAAGGAAGATGCTGCCTGCAATCCCAGTGAAAAAGAAAAAGCAAATTGTCCACGAAGTAGAACAGGGCAGCAAGCCCAAACAGCAGTGCTGTCCAAACAGGACCCAAAGGCTGGGGAGGTAACAGCTAGGAAATAGCATGGAAAGGGGGATCTATAAACCAGGATCATCTGCTGGAGGCTAGGCCTGGCTCACTAAGAACATCTGAGCCTGGGTCCATTAAAGAAACTAATTATTTGCTGCAGGAGCAGCAGGCCAATGTCTCTGCAAAAGAGACAGCAGCTCTGCATTCACTGTCCAGCACAACAGCACTTTCCCATGGGCAGCTATTCAGGCCACCCTCTGCTCAGAAAGTGACCCGAGGAAGGAGTCGCTGTTGTCCACAATGAACTGATACTTGGCCAGTTTCTATCCAGTATCTGTGGCCATGGCTGCTTGTGTTTGCTTTCCTAGATGTCCTCTGTAGGCAAACTGGCTTTTGCAGCCCCAGGAAATCCCATCATTTGAGCTCCCCAGAGAGATTTTCAGTTGATCTTTTTTTCACCCCCAGCACATATGCTTAAAACAAGAGGACATGATCAGGGTGGGATCTTGGTGGGAAACTCAGTCTTCACAGCCAACATGCTTCTGACTGACCTTCGCATATCATTCCCTTGCTGCCTTCTGCAGCCCCCTTACACAACATGTGCAAGAGCTTCAAATGACCCTGCTCTGCATTTTCTGTTCCTGTTTCAATTCTGCTTCTCTAAAACTACTGAGGGTGAAATAAAGAAGTTAGTTTATTTTTAATCATCGCAAACACTTTCCAAACCTGCAACACAGAGATGCACTTTGATGTTGTGAGAGCAGCTGAGCCAGGGGGACATCTAGAAAGAGGAGAAATGGGCAAACTGCCTCTCATACCCCCATCCAGGAGATGGCCAGCAAGTCCAGTCTGCTGCTCTCCCAGATGAGCAGGAAGCCTTGTGCTTTCTCCTTTGGCTTTTTAAGTGTCTGGCACAGAGCAAAAAGGTGAGCGAGACAAGATCACACGCAGACTGCAAGCATGTTTGTACCACTGCTATTGGCTTTGGAGCTACCCTGCACTGAAAAAAACTGCCATCGGGTCCTGTTAGCATCTTAGTAAGGTCAGCAGGACCCTCAGCTGGGTAAAATCTCTGTCTCTCTGCTTTCTACAAATGTAGAAAACTCCCCATCTGAGCTCCCCACTCCCAACACACCATTCAAGGCAGGGAACTCTACTTAGAATCAACTAAATAAAGCCCCTTTTGCCCGATGCTCATATCTGGGAGACTGATCCTGTCTGATAGTGGGATTTTCTTTCTAACCAGGTCACATGTGAAGAGCGACCCCCTGCAAAAAGGAACTGACTCTGCTAAATGGCACCACTTACTCACTCTGAGCCTCAGCAGGAGAGGAAATGTCTGCAAGACTATGACTTGTCCCATTTTCTCTCCTCCAAAAGAAGGAAGTGAGAATCACCTTTTATTGAGAAGTGCTCAGCACCAATAAAACCCCAGGGGTGATTCAGGTTTTTGTGTGCTCAGCACCCAGTGTGTGTTGAGCTGTTCAGCCGTGTTGCTGGCTGGGTTTTGTTCGAGAAGTTTCTGCAGCAGATCAGGTGTTTTGCAATGGGATTTGCAAGGTTGCACCAAGCTCTCTCCATGCTTCTCTGAAGCCTGTGCTATAAAGCTAGATTTAGCTTTGCTATGTGGTGGGTTAGCTGCTAACTCCTCTTAAAACTCCCATTGAGGGTGTAATATATGGGCACAAGAACACACCAAAGTGTGTGCCAAGGATGCTCTCTGCTGCAGGGTGTCCTCTTCTGCTCCATACTGAGAACATCATGATGACATGGTCTTGAGAGTATGAAAATAAATTCTGGCTCCAGTGACTTATTAGTATCTCAACCAAACCCTTGGTGTCAAGATGTTTGTGAGATGGGGTAGTTTTATCAAAATGTTCCCAAATGTTGATGAAACCTCTAAGAAACCTTAGGCTGGAAGAGGGTCCTTAAGCTGAGTGCTCTCATCGGTGAGGTTTATCAATTAAACATTTCCTTACCCTAATATGTTATTTGTATCTCATCTGTTTTATTGCCTGGCAATTTCATGATGTGCTTAAATCTGCCCAAAGTCAGGGAAGAGGTCGTCCTGTGCTCCCTTTCTGTCCCTGGCACATGTTCCCTCTCCTGTCCTTTGTGTCACTTGCAGCAACATGAATCTGAAGACTTATCTTTAATTGCTTTTTCGTTGCAGAGTGAATTTCTAGTTGGATCAGGAGCTGGCAAGAGTGTATGGCCAAGGTGCAGGAGAGAGCAGGGCAGCCCCTTCCAGCATCAGTTCAGGCATACGCATTCACTCTGAACATCACTATGGACCCATAGAAACCTGATTTATCTCAGTCTGGGCAAGCACATGTTCATCTTATTCTGAAAGAGCTTTCAGGTTTGAGTTTCCACAGCCAGTGGCTGAAGGATCAGAGCTTGCTCTTGCATGTAACTTCTACTAGTTTGCTTGACTGCCATTTTTGGGGGAGGGGGGTGGTGGTGGTGGTATTACTTTTTCCTGGAGCTCAGCCACTGTTTACAGAAGGTCAGAGGGCGCCTTCTGACAATCCCCTAGTAGTCATGCTGTTGCCTTGTCAGTCTGCTTACAAAAGGAAGATAACACCTCTGCCTGGAAACCTTGTCTGGCCTAGTGATAACGAAATCCTTGCTGCTTAACACAAAATAAGGGTACTGTGACCTTTGAAGCCTGGCTCACATCGGGAAAGGGCATTTCCAAAGAAGAAGCTGAAACAAAAGCCCCAGAGCAGATAAAGAACAGAGAACCAGTATCTCCTCAGAAGTCAGAGGACTTCATTGCGATGTCAGGGTCACTAGGGTCAGCCAAGCCCTTTAGCTGGACCTCTGGAAGATCCACCTCTAGGAAATGGCACTGCTGCATCCTGGCAGCCTGCAAGGATGAGACATGCTTCTCTGTCTTGGCAGCTCTGGACATAGCGGGTCTCATTTGAAGGGTGTGTTGTGGAATGAGAGATGGTATGTGACACAGGGCAAGACCCTCCTAGTGTAAAACCTCAAGAGGGAGAAAGACCAGGTCCACCTTGGACTGCTTGGTGTGGACACCTGTAGGAAGAAACACCACCACTACATGATGGTCCTTGAGTGCAGCAAGAGAAAAATTTGACCTGCTGGTTGGGAGGCTGCCATCAGACCAGCTGTTCAAAGCAAGCTAGGAAAAGAATACAGGGAAAACCAGATCCTTTTACTAGAAATCATTACAAATTCCACAGATCTTTTGACTGCCTCAGGCAGCATCAGGGAAACCAAGTAAGAGCAAACCTGTTCGCTTTCTAAGCTTTATGGCGAAATAGGAGCAGCTCAAACCTGATAATCCTCATTTTTAAGGAAAAACAGTTTCCAAATCTCTCAGGGTTAATTAACTCTAATTTGCAGATGTGGTAGCAAAGACAGAACATGGCTCTGAACCTTGTCCAACTAAAGGAGCACAGAGAGAGATCAGCTGCAGCTGAATGAAAAAATTACAACCTGAGGGGAAGCAGCTGTTAGATAAGTTTTAAAGGGCATCTGCAGCATGGCTTGATGGAGGGAATGGGAAATAGGGGGTTTGGATTGGTGGTAGATTATTTGAGGGGTGTTGGGTCAGGCCAGCTTCCAGAAGTGGTGGATTTGACCCAGTGTGTTAAGCCAGGAACTGACATTTTCTGTTCTTTACAAAGTGGTTTCTTACATTTTTCTCTTTTCTATGGGCTCAGCCATGCTTTTGTTCTGTAGCTGGCTGGATCACAGTGCCCAGGGTTAAGAGCTAGCTCCTACGCCTCTCTGCCCTTCCCTGGGGAAAGACAAGAGGGGTTTTGTTTCTTCTCTAACATTCACCATGGCAAGCAGAGCTCAGCAGAATGGTAAGTTTTGATCTAGCTATTTCCTGGCTGTAGCTGAGCTTGTGGGGGTATGTGGCACTGACTTTCTCAGGCCTGTGATTTACAAGTTGATGGTTAAAATAAGCCTTCATTGAACCAGTTCATCTCTGGGAAGAGATGAAGAGCAAGTCTCAAAGATACACATTAGACAATAACCATGGAAATTGTGATCACCATGGAAAAACAGGCTACAGGCTAGCAATACCTCATTAGTCACAGCACTATCCATGGAATCCATAAAACATCTCTATTGCCCTGTTTGCTGTTTTGAAGAGATGCCCAAATGTTTCCTCAGCTGCTGTTGGGTAAATGGTGTGAAGGACACAGGTGGGGAGGCTGCTAGCAGGGAAAGGTGCTGTTGAATTCTCCTGTGAAATTCAGAGGTGCTGAATTGTAGCTGTCTGGCCTATTTGTGCTGCAGTTCAGATGGCTTTTTTGTCCTGGTGTGAAATATCCTTTTGCTCTATGAAACTGAGGGTGAGGAAAAAGTAGAAGAGGCTCAGGAATTGTGACATGGGATCTCACTGTCAGACTTGGAGCAATGAGGGATGAACACTGCAGGGGGCAACTTGCTCCCAGTCATTTAAATCCTGGGCTTAGCTGGGACAATGGAACAGGAGACTGAGTCTCTGACTGTATTTTTAGTCTTTTGTACAAGAGAGCAGAGCAGCTATTCAGATGCCCACAGCTCTTGGGTGTGGGCTGTGTGCCACTGGTAGAGACAAGGTGATGAAAGACCTTGTGGTGGAAGCTACAAGTAGCTGGACTTGCCACTTCCCCATGTCCTTGTGACTTTGATTAATGCAAACTCATGCCAGTTTTTGCCAGTGGTTTGCTGCTGCAAACTTCACTGAAATTCACTCTCTTAGAAGTCCTCAACTATGAGTGTGCAGCTGAGGTGAGATCACATGTGAGGAGGTGCTGTCTGATGCCTCCTGAGTTTGTGATCAAGAAAAGGGATTGCAGACTTTACAACAGCATAGCAAACAGTAAGCAGGCAAGCAGTGGTTCTTGTGTGATCCTGTCTGACTTCTGGGGCTGCTTATTAAGACCTCAGACTATACAGTCTCCCTGATCTGTTCCTACTCCTTTCCCTACACTGCAGCTAACACCTTATTTGTTCATTGTCATTTCTGAGGACAGCTTGCTTGGCCTTTTACTTCCTGTCCATGCTCTTGCTTTGTACCTTCTTCCCCAAATAGTATATTCAGTTCAGAGCCTTTCCTTATGCTGTGGGTAATGAGGGAAGAGAAAGCAAGTACTTCAACAGCAAAGGAAATTATATGAAGAAAGTCAGGGGGATGGTTGTCTTCTCGGTCTGGTTACCTACAGAAGCCCTTGTAGCTTTTTGTCCCCTGCCAGCTCTTACTTTTTCTGCAAAGCCTATAATACTTTGTGCTTTTTCTTACAGCTGTGGCTCTCGAGCCCCATGATTATCTAATCACTTCCGTCTGAGCTGAACTGAATCAAAGCAGATTTTCCATCTGTTGTGAAAGGGCTGGATTGAAATGGCCTGCGCTGCTGAAAAAGCCCTTAGAGCTTCTAAGCATAATCCCTGAAAACCTGCAAAGCAGAAAGCAAATAAAAGCAACTTGGCCCCATGTTTTGTAAACCATTTTTGGTTTTGGCAGGTAAGTTTTTGCCGATTTCTGTCTGGCAGTGGCAAAGCTGGTGGTGGCATTTGGAGCTCCAGGTCCTGTGTTCAGAGCTGAGGTAAGCCCAAAATCAATGGACAGGTAAAGAAGGAGGTGTTGAAAGATGAGGATGGGGAATATGTTGCCTTTTACCTTGGAGTGAGCACATGGAAAAGAGGGATATCTGACTTCACTCTGTGACACCTGCGTGATGCTCAGCTTTGTTCCCAGAGGAGAGAGCCATGTGGTGCTAACACTTGCTCTTTGAAAGGAGCTTTCCTTTGCTCCACTCTACACCAAACACTACAGTGAAAGACAGACTCTACTCCTGTGTACTCACTATTCCCATCAGAGTTAATGCCAAGGCCTGGCTGTGCCATTTGGTATTTGCTTTCGAAAATGCACACCCTGCTTGACAGCGTACTCTCTGGGGTGCATATAAAGCTCCTTGCAAGTGCCTCCCCTGGGAAGCTGACAGAGCAGTGGTCTTTGGTGGCATACTTCCATACCACCTTGCTGGTGCCACAGTCTACCAGGATGTGTGCAAGCAACTGTCAGCCAGAGTTGGGTGTGGTGATTTTTTTTACCCTTAGGCTCTGAAGACCCAAACTAAAAACTTGCTTACTTTTGCAATGCTGTCTTTTGAGAGGGGCCAGCCCATAGAAGTGGGCTGGGGTGATTTTTAAAAGGCTGGGACTTTATTTATTTTCTTCATGGGTAACCTAGATATATATTTCTCTCTTTTATTTTTTTTGAGGGGTAGGATTTTCTGAGAAACATATGACTTAATTCTTCTTTCCATTTACAAGAAGAAAGCTGTTTCTCCTTCAAAAGTTGTTGTAGAGGTTTGTCTGGCTGCTTTCTTATTGCATACCACCCTGAAAAAGATGACGCAATGAGAGCAGGAACAGGATTCTACATCTTTGTGCACATTCGTAAAGCCCATGCTTAAAAGAAGTGATGATTCCCCTGTATTTAGGAAGAATCATCATTTCTCGTGACTGCTGTTGTTCTAGGTCTTGCTAGCACTGGTCAGAAATCCCAGCTCATGAGGGCATTTATGGCTGGTGACCCTCTTTGTGTTGATCTACTTGGTATGAGGTAACAGTTGCCCTGGAATATGGTCTGCCTTGGAATAGGGGTTTAATCCCATTAAGTAGTACCTAACTGCTGAGGAAACATTTAAACAGAATGCAGATTGTAACTAAAATGTAAAACTTGTGACAGCTGACAAAGGAAATACTGAAATGAGAATTAGCTGCAGTGATTGAAGGCTTTATGCTATGCTTTGCTCAAAAAATCCGGTGCACTTGATATGACCCCTTTTGATAATTGTGGCTGCACATGGGAAAGAACTTGGCCTGTGATTGTGCCAGTGTAAACTGAGCTCTGCTGCAGTGCAGCTCCCAAAAGTTGGATGGTCATCAACTGCTTTCCCCCATACTGCCACAAGCATTCAGGCAGCAGACTGGATCCAGGTGGAAAACTGCCCAGGGAGAGGAATGGATCACTCCTAAAGCTGGATTGGTGGTTGGGTGGGCAGACTGCATGGCTGTTTGGGCTGATGTGGGGGTCTGAGAGGCTGGAGAAGCATAGGGTTGCTGCTGTCTAACTCCCTCAGCCTTGCTGAGTCACCACTGATCACTGGCTCTGCACCCTGGGCTGACTCAGGCCACTAATCCAGTAAAGAACCATCTGCTTTTTTTGCTGCATTCGGGAGCTGAACAAGCCTGGCACAGGGGCTGATGAGCAACAGTGCCAGGAGGAGAACAACATGCTACTGTCCTGCTTGTCTTGTGGACTCCTGGTAGTGCTGAGCTGCAGTATTGCCTTCCCATTTGGAAAATGCTCTGATGCTTTCTTCTCTGAGAATTATGCCAGGGAGGGAGCTACTTCTCTGCAGCCTGATAGTGGTGAGGAAGGGGGTGTGTAGTGAGAGTCTGTCTCTAGTCCAGCTGGGACCCACAAGCCAAACCATTTGGTGAGTCACGGGGAGGCTGCTCTTGCTTGGGCTGGAACAAACTTCAAACATGTCCAAGCCTCTTCTTGAGGCTGCCAGGCTGTAATTTGTGGCTGACTTTGCTTCCCCTCTGATGGCTTGCTGCAGTCTGAGTGGAAATGCGAATGGTCCAAAAGCTAGGCTGATGCAGAAAATACATTCATCTATCAATCTATCTGGCTGGCTGCAGCAGGCTGCAAAACCACAGCCTGCAGGGGCCTCTGGCTGGCTTCTCAAGATTGCCAAACAGAAATGCCTCACATGCACCACTTATGCAAACTGGAGAATTTGGCACCAAGAGGGTGAGGCCACAGTGGAAGGAATTTGTGTGCCGTAGGCATGACAAAACTGAGCATCAGGCTTTCTGGACCCAGCCCGGCTCTGGTTGCCAGCCTGGTCCAACTGGTTGGTAGGGGCAGTGCTCCTAGATGCTAGCCCAGGGCAAGTGAGTCATGTGTTTTGCTGCAGGAGAGTTCCTCACTGAGCCACGGCTTTTCAGCCTGAGGGAGGATGGGCTCTTTCTACTCCCTTTCTCTATGCAGAGCATGCATCTCCCTGAAAATGGGGCCAAAAATCAAGTTTGGGCTGGGAAGGCCCCCTCTCAACCACTGCAAAGTGACTCAGCTGTACACGGCTACTGACAGGCCATGGTCCTTTCCCAAGAAGCCTCATCTGACACCTTATCTGAGAGGTTTATCTGCAGGAGAACCCCCAAATCTGAGCAGAAGTTCAGCAAAAGCGGAAGGTGGTAGGCTGATGGGAAGACTGCTGCAGTTCACACACTCAGTGCAAGGTCTCTCTTGCAGTTGGTCCTCACATCTGTGAGCTGGACCTGGTCTCAACAGGGTGAGCTGCCCTTTGGGGTTTCCCAGTCTTGCAAACGGTCCCACTGTCAATGTCAGGCAGCAAGTGCCTGAACTCTTGATGTCATTTTAGGTTTTTTTTAATCCCATTTTTAAGTGGGAAAACTAGCAGGCGGTATGGCTGAACCAGGAATGCTATGTCATGGTGCCAATTTTTCAGGGAGCTGCTGGACAGATATTATATGCTCTGTACTGGGGGGGGGGGAGTAAATTCCCCAGATCCGCTAGACTTAGTGGAGCTCTGGAGAAACCTGGGCTAACAGAGGCAGTCTTGTTGGCCAGAATGAGAACAGATTCAGGGTAGCACCCTCTGGCTAGATGCTAGTCCTTCCTTACCCTTGTCCTTCAGTTCACAGAAGAAAAACACCCTGCCTGCTGAAATGGCTCTCCTGTCCCAGACAGTCTTATTTAACACCCCTCTTTTAAATATTCTTCATGAAGTTGGGGTTTTTCTGTGTACTCCTAAGCTAGTAGCTGACTGCTGCTTAAAGTCAAGGTGCCTTGTCAACAATTTATGTGCAACCCAGAGATAAGAGAAGCATGCTCAGCCCTGCCTAGGCAAGGTGGCTTTAGCACCAGAGTAAAGGTTGCTTGTTTAGTCTGGCTAAAATTGCTCTTGAGGGTGGCTTTCTGCCTCGTTGATTTGGTCTGGGTGCATCTGGCTCCAGTTTGGGAATTACCTAAGAGCCCTGGCTCCTCATGGGGTGGGGGGGGATAGTAGAGGCTTGGGAGGCTTGGAATGAAGTTGTGCTGACTGCCAGGGAGCAAAGGCCCTGTGTAATCATCAAGCTTCCCTGCTGTGTCCTGCAGACGGAGGTAACAAGCCTCCCACAGTGACTTTTAATTTTAAGAAGATAGTAAGAAGAAGAGAAATGTGCATTACCCTGTCTGGTACACACTGGCAAAGTAGATCAGAACAGATCCACTTCCTCCTAACCCTTAAACTGCAAGTAAGCTTTAAATGTTATCAAGTCTGGTCCTTGACAAACGACCGTGTAGGTAGAGACCTAACATAGTAATACCATGTACACCCTTAGGTGAAGGGCAGTACCATGTAGATCCTCATGAACCAAGGAGAATGAGCCCCACAGATGTGAGCACTTCGGGCTTGATGAGTCTGTGAGTTACGTTGATGCTGCAGAAGATACCCAAGCCGAACTCTCCAGGCTGTGAGAAGTACCTAGCTTAGAGGGACCCCTTCTCCAGCAACAGTGCCCCGAGCACGGGTTTAAGAGAGGAGCTGTCTAGCAGCCCTGTTGAGGCGGGCTTCTGCCTGCAAGGGACCAGCTTTGGCTCGCGGCTGACCTGTTTAGGTTTGCTGATCCTGTAAGAAAACACCGCATTTTGTTTTCTGTGTTAGTTCGTTGCTCTAGTTGGCTAAAGCAGCGCAAAGGATGTGGCAGCAGTAAGAGGCTGCGAGGTGTGTCAGTTCACGCTGTTTCTTAATTTTACATATAATCCTTGTTCCCTCAGACCACGCAGGTACCTGGCAGGGCTGTTTCACCGAGAGGGAACTCGCTCCCCCTACCCAGGGAGCCCATCGCAGACACCACGGCCATTTCCACCCCCGGCCAACGAGCCATGCGCAGCGGGCTGACACGGGTAAGGGGTGAAGCGCCCACCCTCCTTCCTGCGCATGTGCAAGAGCCGGGCGGGGGCCGGTGCGGCGGACGAGCATGCGCCGTGGCGCCCGGCGCAGCCTTTATCTCGGGCGGAGGTAGCGCTGTCGGCTCCGCATTGCAGACGGGCGCTGGCGTGATGGCGGGGCGGCTCGTCTGCCTCCTCGGGCTCCTGGCGGCCGGTAAGCGGTACCGCCAAACCGGCCTCACGCCTCCTACTCGCGTTTCCCCTCACGCTTAGCCCCGCGGTTCGGGGGCTGTGCTGCCTCATCAGCAGGGTCTGAGCGGGAAGGAGCGGGCTGAGGGCGGTCGGCGCTGTGAGGGCGCCGGGCTGGGGTGGCCTGTCCTTAAAGCTGTTTGTCTTCTCTCAGCAGGACTTGCCGGGCCTGGCTGCCCATAGGCGGGCAGGGAGGCGAGGAAGGCATAGGGAGGGAAGGAGGCAGCAATAAGGGAGGGTTGGGGTCAAAGGGAGCTTTCTGCCGGGCTCGGTGTCGCAGGCCGGTGTGGGGCCTAACGGTACCGCCCGTAGCGCCGGGGGAGCAGGGCCGGCGGCGATGGGGGGGGAAGCGAGGGTTTTAAGGGCACCTTCAGGGTGGCTACTGTGATGGGAAAGCTGTACAGGGGTGGGGAGAAGTCGCCCAGAAACAGCGATCAGGTAAACGGAGGGAGAAGAGGGAGAAACCAGCCTTTCCCACTGCTGGTAGGAAAATGATTTTCTCCGGGCGCTGTGGTAGCCATGATCAGTTTGCATCCATATCCGACACTATCGTGCAATCATGTAACCTTATAGAGCCAAGTAAAAGCAATTGGTAGAAGTTGTTTTTCTGCCAGCAGCTCTGTTTATCCTTGGCACTTCAGGCGTAGATGGGTGTTAATCCTCTTTCAGATGGCAGGAGGTAGCTTTTTCTGTTTTGTGCTTTTAGCAGCCTCATTTCATTAAGGTCTCTTGCTCCACGTGGAAAATTCCACTAATTTTGCTGCTTGCTGCCTTTTTGCATGTTGTTGCTGCGGTGAAAATGGTAGTGGGAAGAATAACTGATTTTTGTCTTGAACGTTAGGGTTGGAGGTTAAAAAAAGCAATGCTTATGTTTTGTACTTTGAAGAAGCTAGAAAGAGTTGCAGAAATGATTCATAGACTGACTGGGGAGGGTAATACGCTTTCAGGTTATGGCATGGAATGGCTAGCAACCCCCAAATTGGAAGGTCTAATACAGTGAGGCACAATATTTTTTGGTGAATTTTTCTTTAAAAGATTTTTAACCCTAGAGCTTATTTGCTTACAAGTTTAACTTGCAGTATTTCACAAGTGAATTAAAAAAAAAAAACCACAACAAAATGCCAAACACCAAACTAAAACCTGACTAGCCTTTTTAAAAGCCATAGGAATAATCAGTTGGCAGACTACAGTAAATTATGTCATTGCGATCTTGTATGACTGTACACTAGTCATGTACTTAAGTGAAGTTTTAATATACTGATATGTACATGATTTAATGGAGAATCTCAGATTTTTGGAGCTGGAAACAAAGCAAACGTGAGCTTTCCCTCTCTGTATTTGTCTGCCCTGTACTGAATTGACTGCCACTATAGTTTCTACTGGGGTTGTTTCCAAATCACTAAAGTCATTGTCATTTCTTATGCATTAAAAGTGAAAAGGATTTGCCTTGAAGTATTCGCCAGGTTTCCTATTAGTGTATTTAAGGAGATAGAAAAACCAGTTCAGCAATGAGAGTTAGCTTGGTCTGCCTGTTAAAGGCATGTGTATGCAACTGAGCTTAGCAGAAGACTTGTTAGGCCTGTTTTTCTTTAGAAAGTCACTATTTTAACACAAACACCTGTGTTTTTCACCAAGGTTCAGTTATGAATGCTATTTGGCTCACCTGTGATAGCATTGTGCAGTTTTTTCTGAAGATTTTGCTGTAACAACTTGAAACAATGCCTTTGTCTACTAAGCTAACTCATTAGCTGTATCAAACTCCAGCCATACTTGGCGTATTCTAATAGAGTTACTTGGCTGGCTTACAGCATGGCTGGTAGGCCACAAGGGTTTTTGGTTGACCTACTTACAGCCTTCTCTGCATCTTCCCTTTAAGGGAGACACAAAGGAATTAAAGCAGGGTATACAGGTCTCAGGATCTCTCCAGACTACTGATGTGCTCTTTGATGAGTGGTTGTCTTTGAGACCAGGAAAGAAAGAAGGCTGGGTGCACAGTTAAAGTAGAACTCCATTTCTCTTGAGTGAACTTCCACTGCTAAAATAGTAGACTTAATGTTCTGTCCTTACAAGATTTCAAACTAATTTGTAATTCATCAAGCAAAACACCTGTCAGGACATCTGAGGTTAAGAAGACTGAAGGCTGTGTTAGTCTGACTTGAATTTTGGGAAGGATGTGGAGAAAGCAGATAGTTAGAGTATGTTCTGTAGTTTGCAAGCTTGTTCTGGTTGAGGATGTAGTTTCTAACAAAAACGTTAGGCTGATGCAGCCCACTAGTGTAGCTTAAATTTGGCAAATGGTGGAAGATACCTGTATCTCAAAATGATGTCCCAGTTTTCTGAGAGGAATAACAGGGAATACTGTGGGTGTGTGTCACCTTACAACTGTAGCATAATGAAGTGGTGCTTCACTAGTGCACCAGTCACGTGGCTTGTGTAAACCTGCCCTTGCACAATCTCCTTCTTGTTTGCAGAAGTATAAATAGAAAGAGTTGTTCTTGGTTGTGTCTGGAGGAGCTGTGCAAGCTGTTCTGCCTGGTCATGGTCACGCCCCGCAAAACAGATTGCATCTGCAGAGATTCCAGAGTCTGATGTGGTCTTTTTACAATCTCAGTTTGTGCTATTCAGCATACCACAAAGAAGCAGTTCTGGGAATCTGAAAACTGCAATGATGTAGAGGATGAGACGGGAGCAGGAGCTTGTCAGCAGAGCTGAATGTGTCTCTATCAGGTGATGGTAATGTCAGTTGTGATTCTCTGGGAGGTTGGACTGTGCTGTTTCAGGGAGGATGTAGTAACATGTAGGAAGCTTTTTACTTTTCTGGAGAAGCAGGACCAGTTAACTGCTGGCTGCCAGTGGGTTTTTGTTTCAATATCCCATGTGGAACTGATTCTACAAAGCAAGTTTGGGACAATGCCTTAGACCTGCATGACAAAAGAGGGTTGTTTTTTTCTTTTCAGATTTACTTGGAGTTTATTTTCTGTTTTCTTTCACTTTAAGCTTTTTTTGTCATTCACTTCATGTGGCAGCTTTTGTATACAATTTGCTGCTATTAAGATCTCAGAGTTTCTATTACAACTTAAAAGGTGTACTTCTGTGGACTTTGAAGTGTGTGCATTTATTTCGAGGCAATGCTTGTTTTTGTGTTTGGTCAGGGAGCAATATTTAATTTCAGATACCAGTATTTTTCTTCCTCTTGGAGTGAGGAGGTTCATGTTTACGCTATTTACCCTGACTAGTTTTAAACTCTGTTCTTGTCTTCTGTAGAAGACTGGATATATTTCTTGAAGATGCTGAGTAAATAAATCTTGCAGTGAGAATTTAAAGCTTGTTTTTTTTTTTTTTTCCAAATGTAACAGTTTAAAATCCTTTGGCTGTTCACATTGGGATGCAAGTCATTAGTATGAAGAGATCAGGCCGTAATACTTCTTTCCTGCTGTCAGCTGCTTCCATCACTGTACTCCTGGGAACATTATTCTTTCACCTTGTGCAGTACATTTTTGCCTTTTCCAGGCTTTCCCATCTCTAACTGCTGTCATCCCTGAAGCTGCTGTTTAACATGTCTCTTTTCATCCCTCTGGCATACTTTATGTGCTCAGCTGTGGGGGTCTGATGTCTTCCCTTCTCCTAAGGGAGCTTCCTGTTGGGTTGTCTTCCATGTCTGGCATTCATTCTGCAGTAAAGCAGTTCTCTGGCAGCAGTGTGGGGAAAAAAAAAAAAGTATTACTCCCAAGATGACTATTCTGTTTGTTACTGGCGGTGTCCTGAATCTGCTGTTCTGTTTTCTGAAGTTTCTAGATGCTTCTAGACTTCACCTGTGCTTTGCTGGGACTGCGTTGTAACCTGTGGCCAGGAACTTTGTCTTCTCTTACAGAAGTGGCTCTCTGCATAACTAGCAAACTTTGCCATTCTTCGTGGTATAAATACATTTGTCTGGAGGAAGGGGGATGTTAATACAGAATTTCCAGAGAGTCTCATGAAATCTGCCCCCCCCCCCCCCCCCATCTGACCAACCAACTAATCAAACAAAACCCAGAAGGCATGGATATGGACAAGTTTGTCCAAAACGTTTGTACAGGGATCTGCTGCAGGGAGAAATGTGTCTCACAACTTCTTGGGAAATACCTTAACATACTCTGTGGGACTGCTACTGCTGATGACTGCCAGATGTCCTTGAGCATCCAAATATCTCTTCAAGATTCTGTTATAGAAAAATCTCAGGCAGAAGCTGGGGCTTGCTTGTTAACCTGGTAGCAGCCTCTAGTCAATGTGGAAATTACTCTTCTGCAGCCTTTATAGTAACTGGGACAGTTTACTGGGATAGTAGAGCTGTTTTTACTGTCTCTGCTCATCCTGTTCTCTGCTGTCTTTAACTTTGTGATTATTTGTACATACACAAACTGCTGCTTTTACCATGAGGGAAGTGAAGGAGCATCTGAGGTAAGAGCAATGTTTTATAGCAAAAGTAGCATACCAAAATGAGAACGTGTTTCCCGCTTTGAGGAAGACCCCAGTCATGGTGTTAACTCAAAACTTACCAATTGTGCTAGTTACAGATGTTTAGAACTTGATACTTCATCAGCAGATACTGGACAGGAAGATTGATTTTTAACTAACATCTGAAATTATGATGACAGCTAGCCAGAATTCATTCATTTCTTCTGCAAATTGCCTATAATCTCTCAAATACCTTGGTCATTTTACTGCCTCATTAATTTACTATGCTAAGAGGCACAGTAGACGTTTGGCATGAATTACTAGCTTGTGATGTAGTTACAACTTCTGAAATTCTACTGAAACTCCTGAACTGACCAGAGAAGCTGTGAGTATTTAGCCATTCAGATAACTTCAGGTTGAGGTCAGTCCTTGACTTGTTGACACTTCGTAACATTTGATGAAGAGAAGTTGATCCCTCTTGACTTCTTTTAAGTTAAACACACTTACGGTTTTGCAGTTCTCAAAATATTT